GTGACAACATGGACTGTTCACCACCTAACAGGAAAGTAGCATTAAAGTTGTGGTAAAATACTTAATGTGGGACAGAAAAGTGCAAGCATCCTGTGTTTCACCAAATGGCCGTGTATCTGTCACATGAAGGCAAATATGTTTGCAGTCTGACAAATGATGAATATATTAATTGTTTGTCAGGAGGAATGACTTTGGTCATTGGTGCTTGTGAAGACAATTTCTCCTTGTGCAACTTGAGCTTGGTGAGTTCTCAAGGTTCCCTGTCCTTTTCCAGTATGTTAAACTAATGTCACAGGACAAAACTGATAAAGAGTAAAATGTGAGAAGTTGTGGGTTCTCTTTGTCCAGGGAGCAGTGTTTTACTGTGTGATTTTAGGCAAGTCAGTTTAGAGAAGCACTTGATTAAGTACAACAGCCATTTTCCAAGAATATAGTAATGCTTGGGTTTCATTATTTGACACTGAGAAAAAACTAATTCTTCATCTGAAAGCAGCAGTTTAGACTTTTAGCCTAATGTTCTGGTTTTGTTTTGACTGTTCTGCTTTAGTAGGATTCTTAACCCGCATGAGAAAAGACTCAGAAGTTTGTTGTGTCTGTGGGCATGGTCTCTGGAGACCTGCATCACACAAACTGCAGGACTGTTATCCCAGTCTGCAGGAAAAGGACACAAGTAAGCTGGGCACTGCCTGCTGTGTTTGTTTGTGTTCCATCACCGTAGTGTCAAAGCGCCTTATGGTTTTGAATGCATAAATTTTCCAGTGGAGAGACTAAGTGGCTTTTCCAAGATCACATAGTGTGACATAAATAGGAACTGACTCTTCTTAGGTCTGAATTAATCTTCTTCATGAGTACAACACCATGTCTCTAGATGGGACTTTCTGATAGTAAGTCTCTGAGCTGAACTGGCTGCTCAGTCTTGACAGTCAGAAGCAATCTTGAGCAATCTGTTGTATCTGAGTATTGCAGAAGTGATTTAAAAGTCCCCCTAGAAGGGGAATAGTGCTCCTTTGGGATCTTTAAAGTGAAAGGTGTGTAACTATTCATGACGGTGATTTTGGATCATGCTTCAGGAAACCTCAGAGGTGTTAATTGCCAGAAGCAGCAGAAGAGTAGAGTAGTCCTTCCTCTGGTATGTTTCTTTTTCTACTTTGCTCTTGGTGTCAGCCCCTCTTAGAGATGGGATTTAACAGAGCTTTGTCTTATCCAGAATGATGATTCCTGTCTCCTGATATTCTTTAACAGTACATTTTAGAGTGCACACCTTTGGGTGTTTGCTTGGTGCCACCTCAGTTTCCTCATACTAAATTGGGTATTACAGTGAGCTCCTCACTGGAGCATTTAACTTGTGTTTTTAATTTTGTGTTTAACTTAATTTTGTTTGTCTGCAAGTCATCCTGAAAGCATCTGATGAAAAATGCTTTAGCCTTCTGTAGCAGTGATCAGTAGAAGAAAAGTCTTAAATTGCAAACTGCCTTCCAGCTTGTCAGAAACAGCCACACGTTGTATATTAAGAAATTATAGGCATCAAAGGGCAGTTGATCTGCCCAACATTTTCACTGCATATCACCATTTCTGAGGTGAATATACACTAATACAGCTTTTGGCTTCAAGCACTCTTAGGAAATGTAAAGTTCTGCTTAGGCGTGCTCCGTTGTCTTTGACCATCAAAGAAGTTGTAGGGGACATCTATAGGGTTTTTGCATTAGTGTGCTTGGAGGAAGGGGATGTCTTACTGTGGTTAACCCTGTGCTAACATTTCTAACATTAAGAAAAGTGCTTGGTGCAGCTATATGGAGACCAGTAACTAAATTCAGTATTTTCAAGAGACTAAACACTTTTTATATTGTTTGACTGTTTCAGAAATGGGAGATTGCAGATAAATGCTTTTATACACTTAAAATAACTTTTCAATTCCACAAAGAAAAGCATTTTTTTAGTGTGCTGCGATAGAAACTGCAAGACTGGCACACATGTGATGAATGGTTTTAGGTCATCAGCAAAGCTCTTTTTGTTGTACCACTTGAAATGATCTCTCCTCTTCCCATTTTTAATTCTGTGGATGGACCTTGAAGAAACAAACAAACATGGCCACTAGGGTGATTGACAGTACAGAACTGGGATAGAAACAATTTGGAGAGGTGAAAGCTTTAATTATTTTAAAAATACTTGCATGGCTGTTCAGTCAGTCACCTATTTTGGGGAGCTAGTTTCTGTTTGCATGAGTCTGCAGGTAAAAAGCATGATGTTGTCACAATTTTACTGTTCCTCTGCTCATAAAAGTGGGAGTGCAGGTATGGTTATCATTTGTGTTTTGTGTTGGGACACAGTAGATAAGGGGCACAATTAACATTTTATAAGTGACTTTAGGGCAGACATAAAATTTTAATGTGCTATATTTTTCAGTTGTTGGGCTGTAGTAACGTTCTTTTTAGACACAATTCCCTTGAGAGTAGGAATGCTCAAGGAAAGGGATTAATTTTAGTTGGCTTTCTCTAATGATGGAGCTGCATGCCTTTAAAATGAGTAAACTTTTAAATACACTGGCCTGTACATGAAGTATTAATACACAAAAGTTTCTGGTAGAAAAGCCACTGTCAGTGCTTAGTTTCTGGAGTGATTGTACACATGAATAACATATTCAGTAAAAATTCATGACTAGTTTATAAGAGCTATTGCAGATCTTAAAAACCCCCAAAACCCCAGCTAAACCAGACATCTTAGCAACTGTATTTGCATTAAATAAATGAGGAAGGAAAAGGCCATATGTACTTAAAAGCGCTAGAGGGAGCTAGGAGGAAGAAGAGGGGAAAATAATCGTTGAAGACATGTCTGCATTTTTAGGAGTAGCTTATATAAAGCATCCATTTAAATCCTTCCACTCACTTCAGCTATAATGCAGCTACAGGTCAGCCACTGCATCTTGCTGCTCTCTGTTTTCCACACTTCACTGAAGAAATTACAATTTTCTAGTCCCAAGAGAGGCCAGAAGCTTTGCTGCTTTTAACATGGCTGTAGGGAAAGCCACCTGCCTCCATAGACTGTACCCCTTTTTCTGCCTTATTTTGCATTTGGATGAGCAGCCAAATGTTAATTTGCCTTTTGGTGCTGGTAGCTGTTTTGGGGGTACTGACATATAGGCTCAGTTCCAAGCTTGTCTCCCTCCAAGATTACGTGGAGAGAAAGTGTGAGTGTTGCATGTCTGTATTTGGGTTCTACTTGATGAAGAAGAATTTATTTGCATTAATCTGAAGTGACCACATTGCTCTGAAGAAATTGAATGTCTGTGAACTCGCAGAATAACAAAGAAGTATGAAGTTACTGTAAAGCATCTTATTTTATGAGGTTTTAGAAGTGTTGTTGGGCACTTTTTATATTGCTCTGCCGTAAAGCTAATTGCTCCGAGTTAAAGTGTAACAGCTTTACGATGTAGATTATATAAATTACTTGTTTTCAGTTCCCTTCCACCCCAATAAACTGCCAAAATGTTGATATCTTTGGATTTGTAAGAATAGCATGAAATCCTGTGGGGATGTTCTTTAGTTTTCAGGTTTTGGAGGGTGGGGGAATCTTTTTAGTATGCTAAAGCTTCTCCTCTTGATATTCAGCATTACACAACTAAACCTGTTGCTGTGGAGAACTGAATTTTGATGGCCTGGGGCATTGAGCAATTTGGGGGGAAGGAAGGATTTTGTTGTTATTATTATTAGAGGCTGCTTAGGGCTTTGGAATGCTGGAAGTAATCTCAGAGGAGGTACACAGACTGGAAGTGGATGATTAAATAAGCAGAATTAATATATATATGCTGTGTGTTTATCATCTGCTGCTGTAATTTATTTAATTCATTGTTGAAGTTCCCTAATTTCTCTTTTCCACATTAGAAGGAAAATGGAAAGGGCAGGGAAAATCAACCAGAGTTTTCTTCCTTTGTTTTTTATTAGATGGAATGATTTTAAGTTATGAAAGCAGGGACAAATGTTTCTCAAAAGTACTTTAACCATGCCTTAGCCTGAGGACTCTGCTCTCTTTAAAGGAAACAAATATAATGAAATTTAAATATGTGGAAGCTGGAGTACTTTAGCAGTGCAGAGATTTTTTTTTTTTTCCATGTACTTTGAGATTGTAAAGATTTTTTTTCTATTTTAAATTACATCATTCTAGATTTTAGATGGCTACAAATTAAGAATTGAAGAAAACATTTTTGGAAATGTTTAATAACCTCTTGGCAAAAAAAAAAACCAAAACAAAAAACACCAACAGATAAGAGCACCAAGTAATTATGGCTTAATTAACACCTTAATGGACAGGGCCTTTTCCTGTCATCTGAGAATTAACTCTACTCAAGATGAAACAGAGAATCTTTTTCCCCCTGCCCCTTTAGCTACCTTGTTTTGCGCAGTTTCTTCTTCTGCAATGCAGGGATGGAGGCAGGTGGGTTTCTTGCTCTCCTGCTGTGTAGAGGGCTCCTATTAAAGCCCTAAAATACTTCCTCAGGTAGAAGATGAGCAAAGTTGAACTGTAATTGAGTGCAAATTCAGTTTATTGCTCTGAATCAGGAAAACAAGCCAATTTAGTCTGAAACAGAGGACAGTTACTTTGTAGATAAATTTCTTATACTTCCAAAGAGCCAGGATATTCAGAATCGTCTGTGAATACTTTATGGAGTGCAGTGGTACACAAATTATCCCCACTGTCCCTTATGTGCAACTAAAACAGCTTTTTTGGTGATATTTCAATCGTTTTTTGTGATAGTTCAATTTCAGGGTAACATACTCCATGGTACAACAAAAAGTTGGGGTTTTCCCTGTTGAAGTGATCGTGGATTTACAATGGAAAAGATATAATTTCTCTTGGGACACTTTGCAACCCAAGACAGACAGGTAGAGGAAAGAAGTTTTTCTCTTAAAACACACACAGTGGAAGCAGTGATGTATTTTGATTGTTGTGTTGCCGTAGGAAAAGCCAGTACCTTCAGAAGTAGCCCAAGGGCAGAGTGTTTATCATTTGATTTTCACTGTTTATTCAAAGGCTGAGGTATTCAATAAAAAAGAAAGGGCCAATGCCAGAGTGGGTGTAAGGTACCACAAGGACTGTTTGTCCTCTCCCCACCCAGCTGGGACAGAGCAGGGAACCCCCCAAAAGTTGCCCACTGCCAGTTTTTCTCCCCAAGTCCTTCATGCCATAACACATCTGTGCAGGTTGTTCATGTGCCTCCTAAGCTCTGTGGAGAAGGAAGCTGCCTTGAAGGGTGGCTCATCCTGTTCCGAGCATGGTGTCCACGGTGTCCCTTGTTGAGCTTTCTGTGGAGGTGGCCTGGAGAGGAAACCTGGCCAGTGATGGCTAATGTGAAGCCTTTAATTCAGTGCTGGAAGAATATTTCACAGGGGGTTTGGAGCAGAAATTGCTACTTGGTGTCACTTGTTGAAGTGCTTTCTGGTGCAGCAGGAGCAGCACTAATTAATCCCTTTTCCCAGTGCTGTTCAGGGCACTCCAAAAACACAGGGCTGCAGTATCTTGATGATCTGTTAGGTAAAGTGTGAGGAGAAATGGTGACATGCTTTATAGATAAATTGAGAGTACAAATCTGCTGATCTAAGGTTGGCTTGGTTCTTCCTGTGCAAAGGCAGGAACAAATGCAGGGAGGTTAAGGGTGCAGGGATGGCTTCTGCCTCTCTGAACCCAGGAGGGACAGGCGAGTGACTCTTCAAAGTGAGGATTTGGGATACTCCTGTGTGCTTCAGTTTGGAGCTGGCATTGCAAGCAAAGACTGTTAGCCTTTTAAAAGGTGTGTGTTTCATCTGTATTCCTTAGAAACGAGGTTTCTCATGTGTTTTTTGGCTGCCTTTAATGTAGGGCTGTGAATAGCTACTGCAGTTGAGCCTTAAATCAAGATCTGATGCAACTGTAGAGCTGCTAACTCTGTGATCAGCTCCCCAAGCAAATGTAGCATACCAAATTATTTTTAATAATGAAGGACTTTGGCTAGGCTATGCCCTGTGGAAGAAGTGATAGGAGGTAAAGATTTTCCCCTAAGCTGGAGAGCTTGACAGAAAGACATGCTGGGCACACCTCCCTTCTGGGACTCAGCCAAGATCCAGATGAGGATACATTTTAAATCACACCTTTTAGTGCCCATAGTAAGGCATCCTTCTTTCCCTGTTCTCAATAGCGGGGGGCAAAGGGGACAGCACTTGCCATTCCCTTAGGGAGTGTGTGGCTCTTGCCAAACAATAGTTGTCAAGAGAGAAAAGTGAAGCACTAAAAATTCCTTTAATTACATTTTGCTGTATTTGTATGCTTGATAATAGCTGGTAGTACTTGTTTCAGAACACTTTATGGTTTTTTTGTTGTTTTTTTTTTCCCCATCACATTAGCCTTTGAAAAAATACTTTGGGCTAATGTTTTTTCTTCATCAGGATTTAAATTTTGCGCAGAGTATTCTGCAGGTCTTTTTTTTTTTTTTTTTTTTTTTTTTTTTTTTTTCTTTATTCCCCTTAAGTATGATTGCGGGAAATTATTTGGATCTTTGTGTAATAACATATAGTCAGACAAGAAGCAGCTTAACTTCAGCTTTTCTGAAGGACAGGACTTTGCTGAAAGATGTGGTGCGTGAGCATGTTGATTTTGTTACTATCTTGTAACAACAACCCGCAGTTGGGTTCCCTTATTTGCATTCCTAGCAGGACGGCAAGGTGAATAATTTAATTCCAGCAGCCACGTGATGGTGCGAGGAGCCGGCAGCGATGCCTCTCCCTGCACCGACAGACTTTGGAGAGGAATGGAAACTTACAGAAGTGATGCGAAATTGTCGCATGTCCTCCCTTAACCCTGGGGAAATCTCTCGGCGGAGCGATCGCTTCATCCTTTGCTTTTCCACGTGTTCCTCTGACGTGGAGTTTGGGGGGTGTGTGTGTGAGCCTGTGAGCAAGACGAGTGAGGGAGTGGGAAGCGGGGAGGGCGGTGGGGGAGAACGCACAGCCAGGCACAGAGCTGGTCGGAGCAGGAGCAGCGAGGAGCCGCGAGTCCAGCCGCAGGCAGCGGGGAGTGGAAATTTACAGCTGCTTGTGAGCGCCTGTGCATGTCCAAGTGATCCTGTCTGCTCACGCTTTTCCAGAGGCTGACGGTCGCTCGGAATAAGAGGAGCGGGAGGCCGAATCGCGGGATCGCTGGGCTCTGCCACTTGTCGGTGATCGGCGCGGGGGAATAAAGCGGAATTTAATGGAAGATCACTGAAGGCGGCTGCGGGCGGCGCGGGCTGCAGGGAGGCGGCAGAGCTGTCTTCAGCACCTGGCCATGGGGCTGCGCCGGGCTGCCTAGGAGCCCCCACCTTCCCACTCACAGTAAGTGTCAGCCGAGGTGATGCCCTCCCATGACGGAAAGTTGAGCGATTTAACGAAACTTTCCTTTTTTTCCCGGTTAGCACCAACCTTTTGGTAATAAACCGCTTGCCTGCTTCTCGATAGTTACGCTGGTAGCTTTTTATAGCTTTGTAAACTGTGTTACCAGGAGTGGCTCTTTAATGCAGGCAACCCTAAACAATACTCCTCCTGTTACATAAGGCGCTGGCTCTGCGACCAAGCACTCCGTGTCCATGGAATATCTCTGGAAATGGCTTTATTTACAGTGTGGTTTCCAAAAATAAAATATCTGCAATATATCATTTCTCCTGCTCCTCTCCTCGGGCCGCCTGCAGCTGCGGACTGGCTCTTGAGATGCAGAGGAATAGGAGCGTGGCCACTTGCATAAGGCAGGGGGAAGGAGATGAAGGGAAGAGGAGCGTGCGGGTGAAGTGCCACAAGGAGCGGCGTGTGGAGATGAGCCAGCCCCTCGTTTGCAGCCGATAGGTCTTGTCCACTTGAAATACTGATTCTGTGGCATGGGCGATTCATGAAGTCTTTATCAAGCAAAACTTTAATGGAGCTTAAGGGAAGTAGGGGTTTTTCTTAAAAGCAAAGGCTCTTTCTTGGGCTAATATTATGAGTAAAGTGAAATTACTACTATAGAAAATTATTTTAATCCATTATGAAGCTATTGAAAGTAACTCAGCAGACTTGCTATGAACTTGATCAAGTGAATGCTGTGTAGAGAGGTAAGTTTCGTAATATGGGACCAAATGCAAAAATAACTGCTCACTAATGGATGTAGAGGAAGTCCTATTCCCTCTTGGCTGCTGACTGTGTTATTTAAATTATGTTACCAGTTTCCATTATTTCTACAGTCACTGTTCCTACTAGAAATGGATATTTAACTCGGTTTCCCTTTTACTTAAGTAAATGAAAAGCTGTTAAGGGCTCTTCTGTTAGAATTATGTGTACTTCAGAGACATTAGTTAAGAGAGCTCTTTCTGCATGACTGAGTTTGTGGGAGTTTTGCTATGGACTACAGTGAGGCATCGAGTTGAATTCTTAATCTTTTAGGTTTTAAAGATCTCCGTGGTAGCAAATGCAAATTTGGATTCCAAATATTCTTGGCTATTGAATTATTGAATTATTGAATATCCTGCAAATTTGGTGGCTGTAAAATCTCTGGTTTAGTATATTTTTAGTTTTATTGAACATGAAGTAATAACCTACCACTTCTAGCTAGTTCATTAGCATGATTGGGAGAGCCCATGTGATCCTGTGATACAGATAAATGATGCTGGTGTGAGTATGGTGCCACAGGATTCCATTTCTGCATGGGTGAGAATCTGAATGTTACCTGGCATTGCAGTGTGAAAATTCTGTAAAATAGTAATAATAGTAGTAGTAGTAGTAATAATAATAATAATAATAATAATAATAATAATAATAAATAGTAGCAGCAGTAGTAGTAGTAGATATGAAAACACAGGACTTCCAGTAGAAGGACACAAAGTAGCAAAGCCAAACACCTAAAATGTCTTTAACTTCAGTTCTGTTCTCTGTACCCTACTCATGATAGATTTAGATTTGATATTAAAAACAATTTTTTTGTGGTGAGGGTGGTGAGACTGGCGTAGGTTGCCCAGAGAAGTTGTGAATGCCCCATCCCTGGAAGTGTTCAAGGCCAGGTTGGATGGGGCTCTGTGCAACCCGGTCTAGTGAAAGGTGTCCCTGCCCATGACAGGGGGCTTGGAACCAGATGATCTTTATGGTTCCTTCTGACCCAAACTATTCTATTAGTAGTATTTTGTTTGTATTACCACACATTTATACCCCCTTTATGATCATCTCTGCCTCATTCTGGGTTTGGCTGGTGAATATCTGTGCTGTAGCATCTGCTCCAGCAGCCCTGTCTCTGTACTCTCCTTCTGTCCCCTTCTTCTCTTCTCTTCTCTTCTCGTGCTGGTACAGCTCTAGACTGTATCTAGGCAGAACTCCACTGGAAACCTGTTTGACCTTTTTTTGCCTCAGCAGGCTATTTTTTGTTAACCTGGGTCACTTCCCTGCCCTGGCTCACCATGTGGCCCTGCAACAGCTGAATGGCTCCCACAGAGGCTGTAGGGATGTGAATACATGTGGAGCAGGGTGTCACCATCAAAGAGCAAAACATCTATCAAAATAGATTGCCTCAGTGACCAGGCTGCTTTTTAGTGTTTCATTTTATCCCCTGTGTTTGCTAAAAGACTATACATGTGGGTTTTGTTTATTTTTTACTAAAGTGGCATTCAAACACTCAGTTAAAAAGAGTTAATGATTTCTTTAAGTGCTTCCATAGAGCTACACCACAGCACTTGAGTGGAGCATCCCCATGAATGCCTTCAGTTTCATAACAGTACTGAACAATTGTGTGATATTATTATTCTCATTCTGTAGAGGTGATCAGATTAAGGGCAGAGCTGCCTACTTCTTTTCCATGTCTGATCTTCTGGATACTTGACATCCTCTAAAAAAAGTGACATTTGTGCTGATGGTAGGCATTTCTGTGATGTTTTGTGTGTTCAGGTGAATTTTCAGCTAAAATCCATCTTCATTTCAGGTAATGCAATGAGTAGCCAATGTCAAAGCTTACGTTGAGTAAATTCTTGAGTTTTTTGGAAAAATTAAGTTGCCAAGCAGAGATGGCATTCATTCACCCTAACCATAAAATTGTCCCATCTTCTGTTAATCTTTTGTCTCACTTGCAGTGTGCCTTCCAAAATCTGCAACTCATTGAGAATTTGCAGAGAAGCTGCTTGTTCCATAGCCTTGATTCCTTCTGCACATCAAATAAAATGTGGGTTGTGTGAGGGGACTGCACTGGGGAGAGCAAAAGGACAAACTGGGCTTCTCTGGGTGCTCATCACACATGGGGGCTTCCATCTCCTGGTTTGAGTACATTGCTCTGTCATTGCAGCAATTTTCCCAAATATGGCAGGAGGGAGAAATGAGAACCTCTTACACTATGTAGAGACCGAATTAGATAAAATGATAAAGAAAGTGTGCTAAGTCAGGACCCAGATATATGGGTCATAGGCACACTGTGGTGAAAGGGAAACTAAGGTCTTTTTTTCCATTCCAAAAACTCTCACAAAATATGCGTTATTAAAATGTTTCGATTCTGATCAATAACTTGATGAAGGTTGGGAGCTGAGGTAGGAGAAATGTCTGATACTCCATGAGGAGGAATAACTTTTGCTCATTTATTTTTGAAGACCAAATTGTTTTTCCAGAAGAGCATCTGCAAAGAGTGCATGGATGGGCGCATGGGCTCTCTTCCATTCTTGCTCTCGTGGGCAGGAAGAAGCTTTTGTTACTGAGCTGCTTTAGTGAGTCACTTCATAGTGGGAGGGGCTGCTGAGTGGAGTAGTGTTGCTGTGTGCATTTTTCTTTCATTGTGCTTACAAGTTCAGATGCACTATAGTATTTTGAGGAAGTATTTGACTTAAAACCAAAGAAATTGTGGAGAGCGCCTACAATCAGAACTAGATCTCTTTCTGTATTTTATAGCTGTGCTATTTTTTTTTTAGTACATTCTCCTTATGAGCAGCTAAACTGGCAGAAGAGATATTTTGAAGCCTAATAAAGTGTTGGCTTTGTTTTCAGATGATCTAGGTTTCATTCCTGACACAGCCACTGATTTTTTTTTATGTGGCCTTGGGTAAGTCTTGTAATTTCTCTGTGTTTTAGCTTTCCCCTTTGCAGAGGAGATAGAATAAAAGTAGGTAGATAGGTTTTTTGAAATTGTGTTTTTCATCTTTGTTAAGTGTGTGTAGATTTGGAAACCTCTGAGAGACTGGGTGCCCTGAATATGAAAGGATGTTAACTTTGACAGGCTACTGAATACCCTAAAACTCATTGTAAACCACATCCAGCTCTGGATTCAATTCACTGCTTTAGTCCATGTGGGTTCTTTTTTCCTTTTTTCCTGACTTGAACAGAAACAGACTGACATTTAGAAAGTGGTTCTTTAATGTTTCCTTTTGGTGTTTCTATGGTTTATCTAATGTAAAGTCTGTGCCATTTTTTTCTCCCAAAGATGGAATGATATTCCATGAAAGTATTTTTGTAAAAGTTGAGTTTTTAAAATGTGCTGGACTCCAACTCTGGTGTCTGAAATGTCATGTTCATGCTCATGGAAACAGCAGGCTTAGGAAACTTCATTTCCTCCTACAGCACTGCCGAGGCATTTTCCTCATGACTGGGAGAAACAACCTCTGAGACCAGGAGAGTTAATCTGGTAAGATACAGCTGTTTCTTTCCTTGGTCTCATAAGCACCTCTCAAGAGCACCAGTGAAATAACATCATCAAAATTAAATGTTTGTTTCACAAGTTGGCTGGTTCTCCATTATGAATTCAGGAGTGTCCACAATCCATTTCTGATGTTATGAAAACATATGTTGAATAACCATTAGATGGAAAAAGTTTTCCTAGAAAGTGGGAAAGAAAGGGGTTCATT